GTCTTTGTGAAGTTTGTCAAGAAGATGAAACAATTAAACATTTTATTTTCTATTGTACAAAATACGACAAAGATAGACGTCTCTTAAAAGAAAGGATTAAATTGAACAACCCCAATCTGAAACAATTATTGATGTCTAACCCAATTTTTACTCGTGAATTATTGGGTTACATATACGATACTAATCGTTTTAGATAGCTTTTAAAGCTATTAGGGATCCCCTTAACTTATGTCGATCCTGTAATAATATATAAAATGAAGTATTTGCGGTTTTTCCATGAACAATTGCAACTAACTCCCATCTCGCCTTTTATGTGCATTTTATGCAATTTTAATATTGCAGCTTTTTTTTTTTTTTTTTTTTTTTTTTTTTTTTTTTTTTTTTTTTTTTTTTATATTTTTTTTATTAAACCATATCACTATTAATTTCATTTCACCAAGGAAAGTCGCTCGTGGGCTTGATTTCCGAAGCCCACGCCAAAGCTATACACGAAATTGACTGGCGCAAATAATCTTTGAGATTGAAGAGCGCCATCTAAACGAAGAACCAACCAACCAACCTATCATTGATAAATGTAAGAAAAGAATAAACTTGCTACGTTGTGTCTCCGGCACCCCCTGGGGAAGTAAGTATGAGATTTTGATGATGATTTATAAAGGACTTATCCTATCCATTTTGGACTATGGGAGTGAAATGTATGATTCTGCTTGTATATCTTTAACAAAAAAACTTGACTCTATCCAATACAGAGCCTTAAAAATTATTACAGGCACAATACACAATGTGTCCTTGGAGGCTTTACAAGTTTTGACCGGGGAGCTGCCTCTGAGATATCGTAGAAGGTTGTTAAATGATAACTTTCGAGTTTATTTACTGTCTAGTACTTTAAACCACCCAACAAAAGAAGTATTGGGTGATGACTATGATTTAAATAACTTAGAATGGAAGATAGGAGAAGGACCTTTTAAACTGCGATCCTTTAGAGACGAAGTAGTGGTGGAAGGGCAAACCAACTTATTGCCGAAAATCCCAGAATGGCGGTTAGCACGACCACAAGTGTCTTTCGAACACCATGGCAAAGTGCAAAAAAAGGAAATGCCTCCATTTGAAATAAAATCGATTGTTCTAGATAGCATTGGAAATTCATGGAATGGGTTTTTACATATATATACAGATGGTTCTAAACTCGAGGATGGGAAGACAGGAGCCGCATTTTATGTGTCTCATTATAATGTGGTGAAATTTTTTAGATTATCCCATGTCTGTATTATGAGAGCAGAACTAGTGGCCATACTAATGGCACTAGAGTGGATTAATACATTTATTGAATCCTCTTCGGTGGTAATTTTTAGCGACGCTTTGTCAGCTTTACAAATGATCGATTCATACTTTATTAGATGTGCTATTGTAAATGAAATTTTATCCATAATTAATATTTTGCAGTTTAAGGATGTTTGTGTTGCTTTTGAATGGATTCCGTCACATTGCGATATTAGGGGCAATGAGATCGTAGATCGGGCTGCCAAAAAAGGAGCCATGAAAAGGTGTATAGACATAGTTATACCAAATACAAGAAGTGAATTGGCAGCCTCTCGTTTGATCCATTATAACAAATTATGGCAAGCAGAATGGGACAACGCAGAACACGGTAGATTTTTATATGCTTTGCATAGCGACGTTTCAAAGCCCATACATAGACAAGGCCTATCTCGCAGAGAAGAATGCTTGATACAACAACTAAGAGTAGGTAACTGTAGTTTAAATTATTACCTTTTTCAAATTAACCAACACGATACTGGTCTTTGTGAAGTTTGTCAAGAAGATGAAACAATTAAACATTTTATTTTCTATTATACAAAATACGACAAAGATAGACGTCTCTTAAAAGAAAGGATTAAATTGAACAACCCCAATCTGAAACAATTATTGATGTCTAACCCAATTTTTACTCGTGAATTATTGGGTTACATATACGATACTAATCGTTTTAGATAGCTTTTAAAGCTATTAGGGATCCCCTTAACTTATGTCGATCCTGTAATAATATATAAAATGAAGTATTTGCGGTTTTTCCATGAACAATTGCAACTAACTCCCATCTCACCTTTTATGTGCATTTTATGCAATTTTAATATTGCAGCTTTTTTTTATTTTTTTTATTTATTTTTTATTTATTTATTTTTATTTTTTTTTATAAAACCATATCACTATTAATTTCATTTCACCAAGCAAAGTCGCTCGTGGGCTTGATTTCCGAAGCCCACGCCAAAGCTATACACGAAATTGACTGGCGCAAATAATCTTTGAGATTGAAGAGCGCCATCTAAACGAAGAACCAACAACAACTATAAAACAATGTTTCTTGACTAATATCGACCGATTAACTATTCCCGTTTGGAAATTATATATAACAACTACATGTACATATTCTGAAATGTTCATGGTCGCAGCTACCATTGTACGGCCGTACGGCACTATTTGAAATTTATCAGAATTTACCAGGAGCACCGGTAAATTTTTATATTCAATTTTTCTCGAAAGCAGAAGCGTTTTAGGGGTTAAATTTTCTAGTGCTTATATTACATCCACAGGGGTATCCAAATATATAAAAATTGAAAAGGATCACCACCACCCAATTTTCGAAAATTCCCAAAACTTTGTATTACCTTTAAAGAGAACATGTATCATATTGGCAGAAATGTGTTTTCAAGAATATTTTAAAGAATGTCATATAGTCATTATCCATATCTGAAAACAGACTCTAATTTATTCTTCTTTTTTCATTTTGGAAAAAATATGTATACAAAATAGTCTTTGGCCCCGTCTTATAAAGAGTTGCGGTTTATCCAAATCAATCGCAATTAGTCCTCCAATCAATCGCAAGTGTGCAGTCTCCTATATCTTATGTACATAGTTGCGATTAATATCAACTCTTTATAAGACGGGATCCAGGTCTTCTTCAGTATACAAATTATAATGAAATTGTTTGAGTATTGGTTACAGTTTCTTTGTCAATGTAAGCTGTAGCCTCATCCATAACTATGAGTACGCGATTTTCTCAGTCCGACACTGGAAATCTCTTTTCCTTCTAAACACCTTAGAATCTGAGGACTAAATTAACAAAATCATCATTTAAATGATGATCATCATATTTTCCTATTCGATGTTTCACTTAATTTGCTCTTTTTTTTCTTCTTCAATTCTTTCTACTTCTTCTCACATGGGCGTCGTTAGACCTTTTCCAGTGGGGGGGGGGGGGGGGGGGGGGAGGATGGCCACCGATTACCGAGAAATACATTAATGCCAATGTGCCAATGTCTACATAATCTAACTCTATAAACCCGGGGCGGGGGATTTTTCCCTAACAACTAGCTATACCTGTGCATGCGCACATGATCATTTTCCTTGACCTAATGCGGTTAATTTCGTCAAAACTATAGTCATCATCGTAGCTATATAAATAAATGTGCTTTCGCCATCTGTAACTGTTCGAGGTGGCGCGATCGGCAATATCCCTCCGCTTGAACACTAATGTCCCGGATACAAAGCCCACAATTATTGCCGAATCCTATTTTTCTTTCGGTGATTATTGTAAGGTTGACAATGACAATTGACTTAAATTTTAATGATTGCTGGTGAATCTTCGAAAAAATACAAGTATCATAGTTTTAGTCTCTCTCGAGGTCGTCACAGCGGATAAAAAGTCACAGTTCGTATGAAAATAATTCGCCGGCCGACCAACATTAATATACATCGCACCACGCATTGACATAGTACACAAGGATCGGGCGAGAATCGGGCGAGCCGACCCGACACAGCAACATAATCTATCCGTATCTTTCTTGCTCCCTCGACGAGATGACTCCATCCAACAAGCCCCCCTCACTCTCTCTCTCTCTCTTACTACCACCCTCCTCTCCCGTATTCTGCCCCCTCTTTCTCCTTTCTTTTATCCCTCCGTTTCTTCTGTTTTTTTCGCCAGCCGACCGACATTATACATCTCACCGGGTTCAAACTTCTGCATTGACATAGTACACAAGGATTGAGCGAGAATACCAACACAGCTGACACGACACAGCAACATATATATGCGTATTTTTCTTGCTCCCTCGACAAGATGACTCCACCCATCAACCCCCTCCCCCCTCCTCTCTACACCCTCTTACTACTCTCTTTCATCCCTCCGTTTCTTTTGTTTCATTTTCTCTTTTCTTGCTTTTTTTCCATTCTCCTTTTCTTTCCTTTCTTTACCTTTCATTTCTTTCTTTTGCTTTCTTTTTTTTCTTTTACTTTCCCTCTCTTTTATTCCCTCCCCTTTTTCTCACTTTTCCCGACGGCAGTGCAATTTTACCGACAATATCCTGATAGGTAGGGGGTGTCGGAGAGGACCTAAAGCCGTCGGCCGTCTGGTTGCTTACTTACTAGCATTTATGCTTTCTTAGCAGTCAGGTAAAATAACCACCACCACCACCCCCACAATCCCTCTAGTGACGCCCCTGGATGGGTTAGGAACACAGTATAAAAAAATACGATCACCGAGGTTTATTAAAACTTAATGAATATTTCTGTAAGTCACCTTTTTGAAATATGTAAACATGACAATGACTTATTACACAATCCGAACGTGATTAGAATATACGGTTTGATAGGCTAATTGAGATTGCCCTCGAGTTAAGTTTTCTTTTTTTTTAATCGTGAAAGCATGGTGAAAGGAACAGAGGAAAACGATGGGGAGTGGATGATAGAACCCCGTTCCACACTCGACCCATCCCCCCTAAGCGATGGCCATGTTATTCATTAAAAAAAAATCTACCCACAAATTATCCTGCTACAACTTGACTACCCTTTACCAAATTCCCCAAAACAAACAATACAAAAATAATGTATATCATATGTTTACCAAGGATACAGTGTACATCAAATACATCAAATACTACAAATACTACAATGTGCATTTACATAAATTCCCTAACATTTGATTCATGTCAACATTCTCATAACTTTGCAAAACATAATAGTTACAAAAAATATGAAGAACATACAATGAACATATACGAAAATCAACACACACATATAAAATACTACAAATCAATCTGTATTAAAAGAAAATTATTTATTCAAGCACCGGCAAGTAACATATATCAATTGTATATCAACAATTTCGCAATATACAGAATGAACAAAGAATGGAACAATTAAGAGCAGAGGCCAGATCTAATTAAGATATTTTTGTTAATTAAAAAAAATGCATTTGGTATAATTCTTAAAGGCAAGTCTTACGTTTTTTTTACACACGTTAACAGGGTAGAATTTCAAAATGAATATCGACAACGACAGTGTTTTAAAAGCACTTGACATTTTAGCAGATCCATTCGTTTGTATATAGGTCTATCAGTTGAATACAGTCATCAAGAAAAATGGTAAGATACATCGGAGTACGGACTTGCCTTTGTCCGAGGCTTACCCGACACACCAACCAGCCCATTGAGATACAATAACACCTAACAAGCAACTGGTAAATCATTCAGAGAAAAAAAAGGTGAAACTTTTTATTTGCAAAGCGCTGTAAATTTCTCAAAATATTTGGCTGTTACTAAAATAACATTACCATGAAAACATTTATGAAAAATATCCTGATTTACGTGAACATTAGGTGAAACATATACAATACAATAATTATTCATATAAGATATTGATATCTCACGACTCTCCTTTTGAACTTGCGCTTCTGTTATTTTTCAGGTAAACCGAACGATGTGAAGTTGCATTAAATTGTTTTTGTTTAATTCAATAAGTACTTAGAGACCTATTCCCTAAAATAAAGTACATCTGTATATCCAAAGAATGTACAGTTTGCCTCTCTAACGTTTTGATATGAGGCATACTCTCCATTTTGAAATGATATGATATGAAATACAAAAAAATATTTCATCATAATTGATGATTTACATGTAAGACACGTGATAAAGTTTACCCACTCCACAAGTATTAAAGCCCGTCTGCATTAGTTTGGCCGGGGGATTAGACCTCCCTGCAAGGTCACTGACAGGTGGTTATCTCATCAAATCAGCTCTCAATTATCATAAGAAAAAGAGGATCATGGAGGACCAACAGACACCGATTGGGCATTGCTAGCTATATAGAGGGCGCAAGTAGCTATAAGTAGTGCAGTGGGGCTTTAAGTATACTGCCTTTTAATGCTGTTACAAGGTGATTCACGAATTGCTCCACAACAATGGGTCACTTAAAGGTCCCATGACATGGAATCACCTTTAATTTCCATATTATAAAGATCTAGGTAATTTGACATCGTGAATTCGAATTTGACAGTGATTTCCCGCAGTTTCTAATCTGTCAAATAATAACACACTTCAAATGGGACTTCTTGAGCCTCAAAAGCTCCACATTGAAACATCCTTATTCTTTAAAAAAAATAATGGGGCCTTCAAACGTTTCTGGAACTGGTCCGCAGAAGTCTTGTAGTAGCCTCCAGTATGGTGGGTAGCTTGTTCCGCACCTATGAATCCTTGCACACTGTTGTATCAACGAGTTTTGAGGCTTCAGCCTAATCACTACTTGGTGGTATCACGCAGACGTGAGAATACGCGTACCCAAGTGGCATCTCTAATTTATGCTTTTATTTTCCCGCCTTTATTTTCCCGCCTTTACAAGTGAAGCAAAAGTGCTATCGTCTCGTTCCAGTAGCGTGGAAGGTGAATCGAATTCGAGGACGTTCCCGTCACTGAGGGTGAGGATGGTGTCCGACTCCAGGATGGTCGCTACACGGTGCTGTGAGTGATCAAAACAAAAAAAAGACGCGGAATGTTGGCAATGTAGGAATATATGACACTTTTATCATAGCTTAAAAAACGATTTCAAAATAATTCTGGCTGCATTATATCAATAAACATCTTGTAATGTAAAACAGGAGAGAGAGAGAAATGCCGTGTATAAAGTTAAGTATACAAGACCATCCTCCTCTCACTATGGTCTCATTCTTTATTCATCATTTTTTTTAATTCTCATTAATCCACCTGCTATGTCTGACGCCCCTCCTTTGACAAGAACCAAATGCCCCATCAATGGTTGGCTACGCCACTGATTATACTCACCGCAATTGTGAGCACGGTCCTGTCTTCAAAGACACCAGATACAACATCCTGGATGATTCGATCCTGTAGAAAAATATGTATAGCAAGGTAATTTCCTTTATTCACGTTTTCCTCTAAGTATACACTTAATCATTTATAATCATGGAAGAAAGAAAAGATACGGAGTAACCATCATCGTTTAGATGTAACGAGAAATGATCAGTACGACCAGAATGCGAAACGTAGAATCCAAGACTACTGCAGTTGCTTTATGACAAACCATGTGTTCACAGAACAAAGAGTGATCATCAACTAATATTCTTGTACATGATTATAATGATATACATGTATCAGCGAACGACCTTTGCTTTAAAGCCCCACTGTACTACTTGTAGCTACTTGCTCCCTCTATTTAGAAAACAATGCCTAATCGGTGACCATTGGTCCCCCATGATCCTCTTTTGCTTATGTTAATTGAGAGCTGAGTTGATGAGATAGCCACATGTCAGTGACCACCCTGGGTGGTCTAATCTATCCTAGCAAAACTACTACAGACGGCCTTTAATACCATCATCATGATCAAGACCATCGAGTTCGCCTACCGTTTCCTGGTCGATGGATGCGGTGGCCTCGTCCATGACAACGATTGTAGAGTTCCTCAAAAAGGCCCTTGCGAGGCAGAACAGTTGTCGCTGACCAGCACTGAAATTATCCCCGCCTTCCGTCACCTCGTAGTCTGAGGAGAATACAAAGTATTGTGACGCAAGCATTAGAATAAACATGATTTCTGAATTTGTGTAGAATCACCGAAAAACGGCGATCGTAATTCCCGATCGTAAACTCACTAAAAGGTGCGTTTTGGATCGGCAATTCTGTGGAAGCATAAACGCAGAATCATTTGTAAACGCGTTTCAATGGGGTCAACGTAGCATGCTCAGTGCAGGTTTGCGAATGCAGCTGCAGAGCCAGAATCATCCTGGAGGAGCCAGAGAAGGGAGCATAAACAGTACACCGTGGTACTGCGATTACGATGAGCATTTCAAATCGCTCATACTACCTTCAAAATTGAGCATAAACGTACCCTAAAACTACAGTGTGTTTCCACAGCATAAACGAGTACCGTTTCTATATATCAGTGCATATAACATAACAGTAGCATTCAAATATAATGGTCATGACAGTAGGCCAACTCGAAGTGCTATCCAAAAACAGGTCTACCTCAATTACGTATACAGAATAAATTGATTCGTAAGTATGAAGCGGCAACCACTATAATATCTGAAATGAGATGAACGTGGGTGACATGAACCTGTAATTGTAAATGTGGGGAGGTTATGGGGTGTCAAAATCACGTACTTACAAATTGAGGTTTCTGGACTGAAATTAATTCTTACTATGAAATGCCCGCTATCATTTCTCGAGAACCATTATTTTCTTTTGTTACCATGGCAGCATATTGGTATCTGACTTTCTGTATGTATTTAGCTAAGGATTAGGATGAGAAATTCGCTCCGCCTATCAACCATTTCACCGTCGACAGTTGTGTGTTGTGAGTCCAGTCTTTGGCGCCAGCAACAAGACCGCCGATTATGGAAAGGGTGGGGGGGGGGGGGAGCCTATATCTTATCATCTCCTTTAACGTTCCCTTTTCCTCTCCCTGGTTTGTTTCACTATTAGAGAGGGGCATAGACCCCTGTGTCCCCCAGCTAACCCTCCCCTCATGTGAAATTGATGCATAAGACCCTAACATCATTTACCTAGACCTCCTTCGAGTTGCTGGACCGACTCCTTGAGTTGTGCGATTTCCAAAGCGTTCCACAAGTCGCTGTCCTGCTTCGAACTAGTGGGGTCTAAATTCAGCCTATGAACACGAAACATCAAACAACATCAGAAATTAAACAGTTTCTAGCTATAAGGAGATTCTCCAGTAAGAACAAATACAGCAAGGATCATGCTTATTCCTTTTTATTTCGAAATGTGATAGATTGACATATTCCTTTGAGCATTTTGTGAACGATATTTGTCAAGAATAATATATTATGATGACAGCATCTGAATACGAACGATTCAATTATTCCTCTTGACAGACAATAACTTCAAATGCAGATTTATTCTCATCGATTTTACATATTCAGTACAAAAGCAGAATGTCATGACTGATTATTGTTCAGAATACGAGGAAATTAGACTTTCGAACAAAAACTTTCTGCTTATCTGCAGAGAAACGTTGTCAGTGCTTTCACTTGACGTCAATGGGTTGAAATGGACGAACCATTGGCTCGGAATGTTCAGTACCATGGGCGTTTTTATGTTTCTTATCTGATTAGTTCTAGTTAATAATAATGCATCTCGAGGGGGTGCTGAAAAGACAGCAAGAAACAGAAGGGAGAGACGGAGAGAAAGATGAGGGGTGAAGAAATGGAGAGAAAATAAGACGAATAAAGGAAGGATAAGTTGAGAGGGCAAGAAAAAAAAAAGAGTCATTTGGCTGTTACCTGATAGTTCCAGTAAAGAGGAATGCATCTTGAGGGATGATGGAGAGACGTTGGCGCAGTGTTAGGAGAGGAACGGTGGCGATGTCGATCCCGTCAATGATGATGCGACCTGAGATCAGGAATAGATTAAAATAAATTAGTGTCAACTTACATACACAGATTGGTCACGGGGTAGTGATCAGGTATTATCAATGATAATCTTATTAATATTTAAAAAAGTACTAACAAAATATATTATATAATGGTATAGGTATTCGATGGGCCTACAAGAGCCTTGCTAAAAGCACGATTCACTTGGATGAAAAAATCTATGCACTAGTAATACAAAAACGACTGTAGAAGGAGAAAAGGGGATTTATCAATGAGATTCGCACAAGGTAAAGATTTCATACTTTAAAATGCAACTTAAATTATGAATACAGAAATAGAAATTCATCGCGATGTTCACTTTTGTTTACCTTTAAAAGTATTGATAATTCTGAATAACGCCAGAGTTAGAGATGATTTCCCACTCCCTGTCCGTCCGCATATTCCGAGCTGTAGAGGGAAGAATCAGGATCACCATCAATTATTTTCAATTTCTGACAAATACGGCAATCGTAAAACTTTATATTTTATCTCCATGATACTCCTTTAATTTGTATTTGTTAGCCTTTCTTTTCTTAATTATTTTTGGACCTTGAGTCATAAGCTAACACCCAAATCATTCATCTGGTTACATATTATGTTATTCATTTTCCTATGCTCTATAATTCTTCATATTAAGTCTCAGTGTCTTTCTCCGACAAAATGTTTTTACTTGTAGTTTTGAAGAAAATCTATGCAAACTTATTGTGATACTAAGTAGTTCAATATGCATGTACTACTACTACCGTGCAAAGGAGAAAGTGCCTGATTAAAAAATTAAAGTACACGAACAAATACACACACACAAACGAACAATGAGGAACAGCTACCTTTTCTTTTTCAGGAATAGTCAGTGTAACTCCTTTGAGTACGGGATCCAGGTCGTTAGCGTATCGGACACTGATGTCATCGAGTTCGATTTGGCCTTTATCCGGCCAGGAACCCGGTGGTTCGATTCCTGAAATAAAGTGACAAAACTGCCTTATCATCAACATTTTTCTGTTAGAAAAGGAAGATACAAGGTTACTTCAGTGCATAAGCATCATCCTCATAATCGTCATCATCATTATCATAACATCATCATCATCATCGACATCATCATCATCATCATCATCATCATCATCATCCTAGCCATCATCATCAACATCACCACCACAATCATCATCATCATCATCATCATCATCATCATTATAATCATTATCGTCACCGTTCAGGACGCTTACCACTGTAATCTTCAGTTGGTACGTCCGTGTAGGATTGCACCCTCTCTACTGCATTCATTTGAAGTTCCAAATCTGCAGCTGATCTAACCACAAGATTCATATACAGAGATATCTAAAAAGACAAAAAACACCACAAACTATTGGTTACTATCCATAATTTCCCCTTCATAATCAAAGTTAGAAATTGTACTCCATCAAATTCAAACAAATAGACCATTATATTTCAAAAAGGAACAATAGTTCTTTCCGCGACATTACTTAATATAAGCCTACTTTCTGTCATAACTAGCAAAATGTAAATGGTGTAAACCTGCATAAATTTATCTTGTGGATAGACTGCTTAAAATCGCACATTAGACAGATTATGAATTATATTTGGTATTAGATTTAATATATTATATACCGATACATGATATACATTATGTAATAAAATATATATTAAAAGGGTATACCTCTAATGAGTATGAGATAGCAAGTCCGACGTAGCTGGGATCGATACCCCAATAGAAAGCACCTAGCAGAGAAGCAAGACTGGAACAGAAGACGGAAAGCGCACCAAGGTAATCCTAAATATGATGCAAAGAAAAGAGAAAGATAACTTTTCTCTTTAAGAAGGATGTACTCCAATGGAAGAAGAAGAAGAAAAAAAATATTTACCTGGTGTCATATTATAAAATTCGTAATAATAATAATAATCTGGATTTATATAGCGCTTTACAGATATTATAACCCCGGTCATTGGATTCTTTCGCACACAATGTGCACCATATCCACTCCCTTGGGGGGGGGGGTATTCCTACCATATGGTCACCGTGAGGGCAAAGGCAAGTACTATATAAAACACACATGCTATCTTCATTCTGCCGGGTCCCAATTTCTCTCTTGGGTATTGAGTGGCAAATGTATTGATTAATGCCTTGCCGAAGGACATTAGTGCCGTGTAAGGGATCGAACAACGACCTTGGGATTTCAAGTCAAGAGCTTAAACAACTCGACTACGACACTTCTACTAGAGAAGAGCATACCTATTTTTGGCACAGAAACAATTTTATACTCACCAGCCGAATAGCTACCCATCTCTGCGCGGTTACCAAATAGATAAACACCCGGTTGTTTTTCATGATCCGATCTAGTGCGATCTGAAAAAATCTTTTCTCATCTCTGTGACAAATTAAAAAATACGGAAGAAAGAAAGAATTCATGCTTCTGTTACTTCACGTAGTAGATCATTCGGAATTGTTATATTAAAGGTTTAAAGCAAAGACACAAAATAACGCCGTTTGTGTCTGAACGAATATATTAAAGTTAAGGTATATAATTATAAAAAAATAAAAGTGATTCAAGAATAGCAACGTTAACACAGAAAGCTCCGCCGACTATTGTATCGCCTTCGTGGCTTTCACTAAACTACAATGTCAATTGCTTTGAACAATTTGTTTAAAAAAAATTATTAACAGTATCAGAAATATAAGCGGTACGATCGATTGCCGATTTTATCATTAGAAATAAGTGAAGAGTGTTATGTACTCACTGAAATGCTCTGATTGTTGGGAGACCACCTAAAGTCTCAGAAAAATGAGCAAAGATTGGAGATCGGGTGACGCTCTCACATCGCTGTAGCTCTCTGGAAGTGTTGAAATAAAAACATATAATAATAATAATAATAAACACGTTACTTATATTTATAAAGCGCTTACCACCGAAGTCTCTAAACGTATCAAACGCATAGCTTTGGTCAATTACAAAGAAATTTTAATAGGGAACTGAAAATGTGAAGGAAACTTTTATCTTTGAAGGTAATGTACAATGCTTAAAAGTCGAATAAGTATCAAGCAAATACAGTTTTCCTTTTTCGATGATAAAGTTAGGGGTATAAATGAGAGTAGAACGTAATCACATATGTCATATAAATCATATTACATGACATAAACGGGATAATACACTCAAATTATATGATATATATTAATGATAGAAGTTAAGATAGCATAGATGGTGTTGATTTTCGGATAAGTATCTGGTGTTACAAATATTGGTACCTAAACAGACCCGTTTTGGAATGTACCGCGAAAAACACGTTTTGAAAAGAGGTGATGACCGTGGCAAGCACCCGTTATTCTCGTCCCGTTTCGGTAGCTCGCAATAAGTAAGGGCCAGAGGAAAACAAAATCAGTTACCAATAATTGAAACCTTTCAAATATATTAAGCATAAACATGTTAAATTTGTAATTATGAAGCTTTCTTACCTTGATGTGATGATGTAATATACGAGTAGGTATATGAACCCGATGACGATAGGCACCATGAAACTCAAGAAGTAGAAACTGACTGTGACGATGACGATGATTGATGAAATCATTTGTGAAAGGAGATTGACAATCGTTCTTATCGTCTGTAAGAGCCTCTAAATTATAAAAAAAGATTAAATCAAATTCAGTAAATACGATAGAATGTGTTTTAGGTCGAAATATCAATAGGTAGTCAGTTGTTGGTAGAAGTGTCTTTCCCACTTAACGTCTTTTAATATTATAGTAATAATATAAAATATAATAATACGACAAATTTATATAGCGCTTGTGACATAAAAGTTTCAAAGCGCTGTACGCAAATTATGTTGATTAAAGACTAATTGCATTTAAACAGCATTGATTAATTTCCATGGACGTGCAATAGAGGTATGGCACAGATATAGCGGAACAGTTTTTAGTAACAGATTACATGATCTCTGAAACTTATGACGTCAAAAGGAAAGAAAAACAAAACTATGCATGGAAAACAAAGTTTCTGTGTCGGCATCGTTTAACAATGTCAAATCTGAGATGCATAGCCCTACGTGTAAATATATGGTGTAATATTGAAGCCCTAAACAAATTGCGCTACAAAAATGATCATAAAGTGCCTCAAAAAAGTTTTTAAAAATGAGTGACCGGTTTTACCATACTCATTTCCCCCAATAGATAATCGATATTTAATGAATATAAGATAGATTCAACACAATTACCAGATCTATATACTGTGTGTCAGTAGAAAAACGGTTCAATATTCTCCCGGTCGGCGTGGTGTCAAAGAACCTGAAGAAAAACATAACCAAAACCAAAATAAATGAAAAACATGTCTCTCTGGTGTGTAACAGTCATATTTATGGTATAGGTGCTGGGATTTCTCTTTCCGTCCGTTTTTTCGTCATCTCTCTATCTCATTCTCTCTCTCTCCCTCTCCTCTTATCTTACCCTCTACTATCTTTCTCCCTCCCTCACTCCCCCTCTCTCTCTCTTTCATTCTCTCTCCCTCTCCTCTCATCTTACCCTCTACTATCGTTCTCCCTCTCTCTCCCCTCTCTCTCTCTCACTCTCCCTCCCTCTCTCTCTCTCTCTCTCTCTCTCCTCTCCCTCTCTCTCTCTCTCTCTCTCTCTCCCCTCTCTCTCCCCCCTCTCTCTCTCTCTCTCGCTCTCCCTCTCTATCTTTCTATTTATCTCTCTTCCTCTCTACACGTTTCACTCTCTCCATCGATTGTTGTGTGATAGTAAGCAAATAATTACCGTTGGTGAAGGTGATGGGACAAACTATCACTTCCGAGGCGATCTGGATGTAGCTATCTTTCCGAAGCGAAGCTGAGGAAAGATAGCGTATACATTCTGATCGACGAGGAAGTGATAGTTTGCCATCGCCTGAAACCAAAAGGTGATTATTTGCCTTATATTCCACATCTAAAAATAATATAACTACAACAAGAAAAGGACGTGTATGCATCTACATGAAAGACACCAGGCCCAAATAAAATTCACACCAAAAAGGTTAAAAGTTTAACCCAACCCCTTGAGGGTACGGTGCGCGCATGTGTTTGCTTTAATACACCAGTTTACAGTTGTATCAGTGCGCATGCGCAGACAGAGGTCAGAGGTTATTGGCCCAAAAATTGGGGCCAATAACCTCTGACCTCTGCTATTTATGCGTAAATTAAGATTGCACCCATGCAAATGATGATATGCGCGCACAACGCAGCGCGCAGGCAGTGATATCATCATAATTTGCATGGGCGCAATCTTAATTTACGCATAAATACATGACCTCTAGGTCATTGGCCTTGTTTAAAATGGCGCACACAACTGTAAACTGGTGTATTGCGCTCATCGGTAATGCGCGCTTAATTACGCCTATTTTAGTGCGCTTTTGGATAATCTTCAGTGAAAGTGCGTTGCCCTTTGTAGATAGTACCTCTATCTTCAGTAAAAGTGCGTTGCCCTTTGTAGATAGTAGAACTATCTACAAAGGGCAACGAACTTTTTGCTTCTCCCATCAATGATGGGCGAACTATCTTTGATCACGTGATTTACTTATGACCAATCGTAGAGCAAGATTCTTATTATGTGGAATATAATATGATATAAGACCTGTCCCTCCTCCCTCTCTCCCTTTTCTCTCTGATAAAATATTCTTACCGCATTGGTATGGCAATGATGTTATCGAGCATGTTGTGGTGCATATTCTTGGCAGCTAGATAACACCCCGCCGTTATGGTAGCAACAGAGAAAGCTCTCATCACAATTTGGCCGATTGAGAGAACAGAATAAATAGTGATGTAGAAGTTCGTATCCTCCAAGAGTTCCTGATAAATATGAAGTAAAACAAAAATGTTAATCTTGACTCTCAAATCCAAGGATAGAAGGTTCAAATCTGAGCCCGGTACTACTGTTTAACGTCCTTTGGCAAGACATTAATCCACACCTGCCGCTCTCGAATCAGATGTAAAAAGATATTCTGGCAATGTTTGGCTAAAAATCCAGGCCCCATGTATAGAAAGAGCAATATCAACATTTTCGTGGCTGCCCTGTGCAAATTATTCATTTTAAAAATATTTATTTAAAAAAAAAAAAAAAAAAAAAAAAAAAAAAAAAATCACATTTCATTGGACATCTCACCTGGGTATTATTGGAGCCCACGCTGACTTCGGACCACTCTGCAAGCCAGAAGTTGGTGGATATTTGGACGGCAGCTCTCAAGATGACAGTGACAATGATGAGGGCTGCGAGGATATAGTTCATAGATTTGAAGTAAGAGAGGTAGACCTTGTAGGATACAGAGCCTTTCTCTTGGTCTTCAGTCACTATCAGTCGCCCTTTCTCACTTTCTATGATGGGAGAGTTCCAAAAGATATCGAAAACATTTTGAATTTGATGTCTTAAGAAGTTGATAACGTCGGCCAATTTTCGGGCCAATCTTAAATGAATATACGACAATCTGATTACAAGAAAGACAAGGAAGGAAACGGAGAAAGATGAAACATGTGTTGATAAGTATGAAAATAATTCACAGTGGATTGTAATGTTAATGGTAGCATCTTATACAAAGGAATCCTAAACAAATCAAGAACTTATATGATGACATGAAATGTGCTGGCAATAAGTTCATTCATGAGTATCATCACTTTGCAGCACAAATGATTAAGACAAATTTTAAATAATGCCTCATTTCTATCGTCATTAACGTCTATAATCATCACCACCACCACCAATATCACCACCATCATCACCACCACCACCATCGATATCATCATCACCATCATCACCATCATCAATATCATCACCATCATCACCATCATCATCATTATCATCATCATCGTCACCATCATCAACATAGTGACCATCATCATCATCATCATCATCATAATCATCGTTACCATTATCATCATCATAATCATCATCATCACCATCATCAACATCATCAACATCATCTCGTCAAATTGGCTTCTAAAAGTAAGTACATCTCCTTGAAGGTTACCTGAAGCTTCAGAAGACGCTCTTGATTTAGTGTCCAACTGAGAGATTTGTTTCTTCAGAGCCCTTCTCTCTTCCAAGAGAGCTTCTGACTCCGCCCCCGACATCTCAGCTTCTGATTCGCTGAACACCTGCAGAGCTCTCTGCCAATCAGCACACAGTGAAGGGTCAGCCTTGGCGACGTCTTCCGGGTCACCCTGAAGAGCAATGCGCCCGTTTTGCATTACGATGATCTATCGGTTCAAAGAAAAACAAAAGGGTGTGTGATGCCGACCTAAACTTAAACATGTAATTGCAGATCGTCATTAATTCATCGAAAAAAATGTAAGCAATTCTGATTACGATGGGTTGGTATGTTTGTCTCAACACCACCGCATTGACCGGAATGTAATGCAAATTAGATGAACATAGTACGAACAGTTTCGATGATTATTAAGTGTTTCGTGGAACATGCATCATGATGAGCAGAAGGTAAGTGAAGGAGACACATTACCTTTTCAGCCTCTGGTAAATATTGCAACTGATGGGTGACGAGAATGATGGTTCGTTTCTGTTTCTTGAGAATCTTCAGAATTCCATTCTCGAAGAGATGAGCTCCTACGTGCATGTCAAGAGCTGACAAAGGGTCGTCCTGGTTATTAAAATAAAGGAGGAGGCCTCTGTGTCACATTACATCACTCAAAGAAGCATTCATTTCATTAAAGTGACATCGATTTCCATTTTTGCACGTGAAAGTATCAACAATGACGTTTTGGCACACTTTCCCTATTTAAAGGACAGTTGACATCAATAGCCCGACGCTCAAGTCTTATCTATATGGAGTACGATAAATGGACGAACTAGGATAAAAGAGAATAATTAAGGCTTTTGCCGATGGTCGCTTGACACCACCCTTCAACCCCTCCCCCCCCCCATAAGTAAATAAATCAAATTAAAAGTAGTAATAATAACAATAATTATAAAAAAAAATGATAATAGAATAATAAATGTTGATGAGGTCATTACCAGATAGAAGAAAGAATTCACATACTGTCATCAATATCGTTAGCTATCAATATGATTAACCTTAAATGATATAATATCTCATGCTTTTTGCGTTTTTATTTTACTCCTCACACAAGAACACACCCTCATACCCTCACACATACACACACACACACACGCAATAAACACACACTCGCTCATCACAACCCCCACACATACAAGATTGAACTTCTTCTTTGGGCCCTTTGTGATGATGAATACATACCAATATGACGATATCTCTGTCTGAATACATGGTCCTCGCTACGCTGACTCTCTGTTTCTGTCCTCCGCTCAAGTTGATACCTTTCTCACCAATCTCTGTATGATCTCCTCCAGGTAACATGGCGATATCTGGACCTAGGGCGCAGGCCTCGATCACTTTCTGGTATCTGAGAAACAGGTCCACAAAAAAAAAAGTTTAAAATCGAAATGATTCATATCTGAAGCTGGAGTGCATGCCTAAAGTCACTTTGTGGTATTTAAACAAAAATGAACCCGAATTCAGGTTTGAGATCAAATTTTGGCCTGTTATATGTCCTTATCAATAGATGGGGGTTGAGTGTGCCACGGCCCTGTCCTGAACCTGTAACATTTTAGATCTGCAATAACCCGTGCATAAGGCAAAATAAGGGTTCTAGGACACCTACTCTCTGGACATCCACCCCGGTGGTTATCGGGGGGGTGGGGTGGATGTCCAGGGGTTATGTATTCTAAGGTAAGCTTTGATGATGAATGAATGCAAGAACATTCTAATAATGCAACGATACACATGTATTCAAATTTGCTAGGGGAACTATCTCTCGAATTCTACAAGCCTGATTTCACAGTCTAGGTCTACTTTAAGGAAGGCCCAATTTAACCACCTTTGTTTGTAATATTTCATGTAATCCGTTTTCTCTTTTCATATTTGAATACTCACTTTCCATGATCGGAAGAAGCGCCAAACATGATGTTATCCTTCAACGAAGCATTCATCAACCAAGCTTTCTGAGGCCCGTACGCGATCGATGACCCATTCCTAAATGGATAGAAATCAGAGTCAAAGTTATTTTAGTCAGATTCGACAGTTTATGACCCTTTTTTCAAAGAGTATGAAGACAGAAAACGAAAAAATGTAAAAGATTACTCTTATTTAGTCATGCAGATCAAGAGCGGTTTATCGAGAGAGAGAGAGAGAAAATCGCCACTTCCTGTATATAAGAAACTGCCAATGGCAACATTATTTTATTATCGTTCCCAATGGCTTTTGGCATGAAAAGCTTATATTTTATGTCCGTCTTTAATAGATGCAATGGACCAAAGGCAGATTAATGTCCAACACTATTTGAGAATACAAGGATTTGGATATCAAAAGTATATGGACAAGAAAAGAACAGTTGATACAGAGGATACATCCATTGGAGGGGCACTGTCGATCATCAGAGGGTGGGTGGAGCATCAGCTTTAATTGATGAATACTATGCAAATCAATAAAGCCAACAATTATGGGGAGTATGGAGAAAGGGGTCTCATCTTTTTCTTTTCTCGCTCCCCCCCCCCTCCCGCACTATCTCCCTTCCCTTTTTCCCTCCTTTTTTTCGATGGGGTAACAGTGCGTGCCCCCATTCTCCATAGCTACGCTACTGATAAAGAACACTTACTGGACAAAAGCTCCTCCTCTCAACGTCGTCATCTCTCCCATCATGGCTTGAAGTAAGGAGGACTTGCCACTCCCAACTGTTCCTACTATCACTGTTAGTTGACCTAGGAATTCAAATGATATCACCGAGCAAATTGTTACACTTTTTAAAAGTTCAAGTCATTTTTGTTCCTGAAGGCAAACTGCCAATTACAAACGAACGGGAGGATGAAAGAAAATGGAGGCTTAATAGTTTCATTGTGAGTACAATCGATCCAGAAATGAGAGGTGTAATAGGTTTGATAATGGAGCCGCATTTAGGGGGAAATCTGAATCGTTTCTCATGTAGTGCATTGGATGTTTGAACTAGGAAAATAATAACAAATACGCTTAAAATACTTTCACTGAAAAACACACAGCACAACAGACCATTCCAAATGACCATGGTTTCGGGAGTTTGACCAGCAAGATTGTCTTCATCTTTCTTTTTCTCATTACGCAATACAAAATTATCACACATTTTCTACCAAATTAGTTCCGAAGATTTGAACGTGTAAAATGTTTAGTGCAAGTTTGGTTCGATTCTGTGATAATAGAACTTACGATTACCTTTAATAAATGTATAAAAGACGATTAATTTCGTCAAACTGTAACTTCGCCTGCATTAAATTTGTCTTGAAAACTGACTGATAAAAAAGAAAGGTCATCGACTTTTTATTTTACCTGCTGGTATGTCTACGTTGATATCGCTTATGATGGGGACTGCCGAATCTGGGTCCCAGGTGTAGAACCCGTTCCGAATCTAGAGAAGAAATGGGGATTAAGTCAAAGTGTGATGTCATTTAAAAGAATCTTTGATGAATTTATATCAAAATATGAAAAAAGCCATGTTCAACATACCATTTCATAATGACGCTCTGCAAAGACTTCAAGATACAATTGAGCGCTAAAATGTAAAATTTACACCATCGCTCTCCCCTCTCTCTTCCACCCTGTCTCTGAATTACTTTTCTGTATATTTATTTTTCTCTATTTCTCTCTTTCTCTCTCACACTTTCTCTCTCTCTCTCTCCTTCTCTCTCTCTCTCTCTCCCTCTCTCTCTCTCTCTCTCTCTCTCTCTCTCTCTCTCTCCTCTTTCCTCCATCTCCCTCTCTCCATGAAGTTATCTCTGTACACTGACCCGTATACTGTCGTAACGTGTTTAGGGGAATCTGTCGGGATTCGAAACCATCGACCCATAGGTCTAGTCATTTTTGTTCTCACTTTTTCTCTCTCTTCCTCCTTCAAACTTTTTCTCTTTTACTTTACCTTTCTCCCCTTCTCTCTCGCCCTTCTTTTGCCTCAAATGTCCCCGCTCACTTACCCGCATCGCCCTGTCTTTTGGAAGGATTCCTCTATTGAGATTCAAACCCATCGTCCCGTAGTCTTCCTTGTTCTCTCTCCCTCCCCCTCTCTCTCCCCTGCTGAATCACAGTGTGCTCTACAATGTTAAATTGGGGCATTTTCACATTGTGGTTGATTCGTTTCACACTGTGGTTCACAGTGTGGATAACCGGAAAAGGAAAGAACACACTCGTTCACAGTGTGAATCACACTGTGTTTCACACTGTGTTCACAGTGTGAACTGTGATTTCACACTGTGATTCACACTGTGAATGAGTGTGTTCTTTCCAGCAGGGTCTCTCTCCACTATATCTTGTTGTTCTCTTTTCTTTATATTTCTTTACACCCTCCCTCTCTCCCCTTTCATATCCCAAAACATTCAAACTAGACTTACACGTATCGCGACGTCTTTTGGAAGGTTTCCTTTATTGAGATTTGAACCCATGGACCCGTAGTTTTTCTTGTTGTTCTCGTAACTCATGGTCAGTGATCTCGTCATCTGAACCTCATCATCAGATGTAGCTGGAGTCTTTTTTGTCCCGTTTCTCATCGTGCCATTTGTCACCTAATTTCGGATTAGAAATGTACGGGTTATGATGATAACCATGATGATTATGACCAAAATGAAAATAATCAACAGATTTATTAACAACGTCTCTTTCATAATAGTACTTTAGAAAGAAGCATACCCTTCAAATAATATGTTAAACAGGGGGGGGGGGGGTGGGAGGGGAGACGGGGGTAGCGCAAAAATTCAGTCTTTTCCGAATTAAAGTTATCGTTTACATATATTATAAAAAAATATCATTAAACAATGACGGAAGACAAATAATTTCAAAGGCCTAGTTTATTTGCGTCGTCTGATTTGATATATTACGTCAAAATATGATTTTTATGAATTTGTCAATGCTCATTACAGAAGTTATTTTGTTATGATCACCGTCACTCGTTATCGACGTCATTGACCAGAAATACTCACCATTTCATCGTCATCATGCTTGCTTTCCACCTCGGGTCCACTTAGGAAGAAACTCAATCTCTTGGAACTCACCCATGCGGTCACGAATAGGTTGACCACGAAGGGCAGAACGAACATCGGGTCGGTCAGGGCGTTAAGCAGGGAAAGCGCGGAGAACGCGACATCGGGCGTGAGGATATTGTCAGTAATGGCGGTGTAGGTTGAAAAACACTATGGATTAAATAAAGGTGAAAGGTGAAAGGCAAATTTCTTTAAACGGTATTGTTATGAAAATAATATGCATGTTGAAAAACATTACTAAAATTGACAATTGAAAGTAAGTTTTTGTATAGGGGACGACAATATTGTGAAATTTTATTTTAACATATTACTTCTCCAGTTAAAGCGATACCTATATGAAAATAACGTTATATATATATATATATATATTTTTTTTTTTTAACGGTACGAATAGAATCCTTACCACACTTAGGCCTACTGAAAATGAAATTATGCTATCGCTTAAACATTGATCATATTAAAACAAAATATACAAGTAATGCTTTTGCTATGTCAAGACTAATAAATTTTGAAATTCAATAAACCAGTAGCGTCGTAGCCAGTAATTTTGAGTCAGGGCGCAAGGATGGGATCCGAGTATACAAATATATTATAAACTTATTCTAAGACGGAAATATTGGCATTTCGATGCATTACAGTGATTAGATATATCATAAGTACAAGTTTATATGTACTTACCAGCAGATTCGCTACTATTGGAGTTCCAGAGTTGACAACAACTGTTGAATAAAATAAATGTAGTAAATATTCTTGAGAAAATGGAACGAGACACTATCATTCTTTGTTGGGGCTTTTCAATATATAATGTTGTCTCGAAATAATGATGATAGTTTTTTTTCACATGAATTTCACAAATTGACATGACACCATTGATGGATGTGGACATTTTCAAATGAGATTGGAAATTAACAATGAGTAAAAAACAAAAGGTCATACCATGGAGTTACTAATTCCATGGTCATACTCACAGTTCAAAGCAGAGAGGAAATAAAGGATGAAAAGCTTGTCCATTTCCTCTCCTCGAATGATATTGATAAATCCCTTGAACATCCTTTCCCATCCGTATAGCTTCAGTATCTTCATTCCTTGTAGCATCTCATTGGACGATTTTAACCTCTGATCTGCCTTGGCCTGAAATGATGGCGTGATATCAAGGGGGGGGGGGGCAAAATAGGGAAACAACGTTATATATAAAGTGGAGGCGCAATGGCTCAGTGGTAGAGCAGTGGTCTTGTAATCGGGAGATCGTGGGTTCCAAAAATAGTCAATTCGCTTTCGGGTAATGCATTATTGGTTATTTAATTAGCTAGTCCCTCGGAGAGGACTTCAATCCGTCGGTCTCATGGTTGTTTACTTACAAGCATAAACATGCTTTCTTAGCAGTCCGGTATTAAGCAATCAATAATCATCAAATTAGTATGCAAGTGAGTTAGTGAGTATACACTGTTCTAGCTTTCACACACCAGGTATTATTAAGTCTTACAGATTCTCTAGTTTACCAAAAGTTTCCTAACATATTTACTGCCATGACTTTAAAGATTGCATTTTGAGACCGTATGTTGTCTTGTTGTTGTTGTTGTCGTTGTTTTTCGTTTTATTCGAGATACACAGACATACATTTGGGAAATATCACGGGTAGCTAGGAGGGCATAAAAGGCAATTATTATTATGCTAACCATAGTTATTATACAAATAATACACAGCAGTGAGTGCATTGGTAAGAATTACCACGTCATCATATTATAAAACTCACCATGACCCCTTTCATCGTTCTTGCATAAACTGTGGCAATCTTGAACTGGATCGGAATAACAAGGAAAAACACAGCTGCCCCAATAAATGCCGGTGGTCCAAGCTGAATATAGAGTAACACCAATGTCAAGGTAATCTGTAAAGAAAGAATGGACGGAAATAAATAAAGGAGAACGTTTTTGAAAGTTCAAGGCTATCACGTATTCATTTTGAACACGTAAACAGATGAGTCTTAAATATTAGGAGAAGTTTCACTTTCTGTTGCAAAGACCAATCGATGCTTCTTTATCTGTTAGCGGAGGAAAACATCAGTGGCGTAGCATCAGGGGGGGGGGGGGGGATGGGGGGAGTGTACCCTCCTTTTGGAGAAAAAGAAAAGAAAAGGAAAGCGTGATATCATGAATATAAAGAGAAAGGAAGGGAACATCAAAGAAAATAGAATCCCTTTAATTCCCTTCCTCTAATAATAGGTGGCCTTATTAATTCTTATTCATGTGACCGTTGCCCTTCTAATGATACCAGCACCGCCCCCCCCCCCAAGACTAAACCCACGCGGCTACGCCACTTAATTGATTTAGCGTGACAAGGTCAAGGTCAAGGAAGAAAGAAGTGGATATTTCAAGGATTATTCATTAAATACATAAAAGCATACTATCTTCTTAAATACATACATGCAGCAAATCGGATTTTTCACACGTACCCTAAATGGCACAACCCAAAGCTCGTTACCGCGGTCAAAGAAGAACTGAACATTGGCTGCATCGACTGACATGTGATTGGTCACCTGGCCCATTGTCATCACACCACCTGACATGGCGTATGTTGACAGCCGCAGAGACTTCTCGTATACCATACTCTGTTTAAAAAAAAAAAGAAAACAAATGATATTTAAGAATAATTATTATGATAAAATAACTGATGAATGAATAAAAGGACCCTGATCGTGATGCAAGACGGTCGACTAATCAATTTTATATAATACAAAGAATCGTGCTACATGTAGGTCAATCAGATATATTCAGTGGGATTTTTAAAAAACTCCTGCAAAACTACCTCATGCAAACAACATTCTTCTAGACAACTACATCCTTGGACATTTACCCCCGAATAACCACCTTTTGGGGGTAATTGTGATCAGGGGTTGGTTGGTATAAGAGAGGGGCACTTTTTTCCGGAGTAATCGTCCCTACATGCAATGTTTCTTCTATTATAGAAGTTTAGAGTCTGTTTGGTATCTTTTTTTGTGATATTTCTTGTTATCAATGCAAACTGTTAATTGAGACAGTATGGAAGGCTAAATGTTATTAACCCATACACTGCATGTAAGGATGTGGAAATAATAATTCATGGAGGAACAACAAATGACGAAGCTAGTTTCAGTTTCATCGCTAACTGCTCATAATCTCACTCAGCAGATAAACTTTAGGATTTCTCAAGATGGACTTTGTAATAAATGGGACATTGACATATAGGAGAAATACAATAAACATTTCCTTGCAGCCAACACGTCCCCAAGTCAAACAAGCATATGGCTTGAATCCAAACAACACTAATGCAGAATTAAATTAAATTGAAGGATTAATTTACATTTCGTCGCAGCCACTGGCTGAATTGGCTGATAGTCACAAATATCCACTCATCATGTTTATCTGGCTCAGAGGGGACCCTAAAACTTACAAGCTCTGCTTTTAACAGGGTCTCCTCGTCTTTCTTTTAGTTAACTTTGTTTTTATCATTGCCATAATTTGTTATTTTACATTGTTAATGTGAAATGATCTATTGTTATGCTCTATGTGTCATTTGAAAGAAAGACGAATACATATCTTATCTTATCTTATCTTAATTGCGAAAGATTAGCAACATTGATAGAACATAAAACAATGAAACATGTTCATGCTTGAAAACTCCCACGAATGTATAACATGAAAACCAGCCATGTTACGCAAAAAATAAACAATCACTAAAACACATTTTTGCTTTGTGTATTCCCAATATACTCGTTAAAGCGGAGTCACTTGAACATTCTGACAATAAAAAAGCAAGACATAAAAGTAAAATGATCTGACGTGGTCTTTAAGTCTTTTGATTAATAATGCTCAAAACGTTCATATTTGTCGACAAACCTAATTGGCAAATGACAAGTTAAAAGAAAAATAATAAGACCATCCAGATAACACAATTTATTTATGTATGCACGTCTGCGTGTGTGCACGTGTGTGAGTATGTAGTGTAAACTTGTGTAAGTAAATATATCGAGGGACATCACACCATAAATATATGCAGAGGGAAACTTTCAATACATTTATTACCACGGCCTACATATTTTGAAGACCTTTGACATGTTTGCAAACACCAACCATTATTGCTTTGTCATACTTCGAATTACGATGTTTGAGTCTGATAATATTAAAATACCAATTGATTTGTTATATTTTTATATTTTTTTATGAAATAGTATACAAAATAATTAGACTTACCTGAATGGCTGATTTCACGTGGACCCCCTCTACAGCACAGATGTAGTAATATGTTTGGTCCAAAGTTGAACGAGTTAAAGCCGCTATGTATATAACTCCGACCAACACGAAACCATTACCGAAAAATTCGTCAATAGTCACATGGTGAGGTCTAGGCACCTGTGTGAAAATTAGAAGACACAAAAAATCGTGCTAAATCTTAGAGCAGACATTCACATGAAAATCCTAGAATCTATGATTCTTTTTAGATTATAAAACAGTTGGGTAAAACTTAATCGAATAATCATGATAATGGATAAAAAGGGAACATGCACTTTGTGAGGTAAAGTCTTACCTTTGATGAGCTTTCTAAGGATGTAAAGACCACAATGAGCCTTTCCTTCAATAACTGACCTACTTTTGTTTGCTTATGTTTAATGTTATTTTTGTCTTCCAGAGGCTTTATCATGTAAAGACTGGGATGATATTTGTGATGATGGCATGGAGCCACATCAAACATTCCAAAGTGGCGTAGCATAGTTATGTCCAGAGAAGACACCGGCACCGTCACGGGCAGGGTCTTACTGGCTGAATGAAGAGCAAAACTATCAATGCTATTTATAAATGTGAGGGTTGGAGGGGGCTGTAACATGTTCTCTTCACGTTACTTACACCCCTGCATTTTTTCGCCATTTAATGAAGCCGGTGCCCCGTAAACCCGTCACCGCGTCCCGGATTATGATCAGCCTTGGGGCATAGTATTTAATTATTTATTAAAATAATTGTTAAATATTAGATTGCCTCTCCGGAAGAGAAAATGTAATTAAATTCGTTATACCATAAATCTTTTGATCCCTTGATTTGTGTATATTGTGAACGAAAACAAACTTTTATTTAAAACATAAGTATTCTTACATTCTGATTTGGTGTTGGATAGAGAGAGCTTGTGACGAAAAGCACTATTCCACTGATGCACATGGGGCCAACTAAATTCAAGCAATCTCCGCACAATTTCAGCATCCCTGCTGGTATCATCTTCTGTGCGTAAGTATTCCAGTACACCCTATGCAGGTCGATCTTCTGCCTCTTTCTCCTTGCTCTTTCCTAAAACAAAGGAGAAGAGATGGAAAAAGGAAGAGAGAGAGAGAGAGAGAGAGAGAGAGAGCGAAAGAAAATAAAATAGGGGGAGAGAGAGGATGAGGGGGAGGAAGACAAAGAGAGAACAATTTTGAGAATATCGACATGATGAAGCGAGAGGAGAGGGATATTGAGGAATCAAAAAGAAAAAGGAATTAAAAGAGTATTACAATGCGAATATCATTAAACGATATGCTTTTAAGACTTAAACCAGAAATGTCTACCCGGGGGTGACCCAGTGGTTACCGCAGTATCACCCGGATGAGGTTACCTGGTATAAAACGATAGGTAACTTTGCTATTTAACTAGGCGTTGTGGCGTGCGCTTGTAATCCAGCTAAAAGTGGAAGTTACAAACTGATTCTGCCGAGGACACAGGTTCGAAACTTACTCACGTCTTTCGGATGGTGACGTTTAAAGGTCGGTCCCCTGACGTAAATAATCTGATTGATACACGTCTTTAAAAACCCAATACACACACACTCATTATTTAAAAGAAAAGTCTTTGTGAGAAAATTACAAATTTTGCATAAAATAGTAATTGAGTTTTAAAAGAATAACAAGTTTGAATCTCTTCTTTAACTTCATACCGAGAATGCGATTAGATAAATGTCACATTCTTAATATCAGGTTAATGACGCATGTATTGAATGAGCTTAGACGAATTAAGTTTAGAGTAGCCACCTTGTCCGATTTTGTATGGTATCTTTCAATGGACATTCACCATGGTAACGTCTTATCAATACCATATTGACCTACAACTATCATAATTATCATTATAATCCTGGGCGTATTCAGTAATCCCTTGCAGTGCTAAATACCCGTCATGCGACTCATGCCCTTCATTTATACCATCAATGTGACGACACCTGGAATTATCTGGCACTTTTCCAGTTTCATTATCTTAAATATTGACCTACAACTATCATAATTATCATTATAATCCTGGGCGTATTCAGTAATCCCTTGCAGTGCTAAATACCCGTCATGCGACTCATGCCCTTCATTTATACCATCAATGTGACGACACCTGGAATTATCTGGCACTTTTCCAGTTTCATTATCTTAAATATTGAATACTGGCCGATAATTGGAAATTTTCTGAAGTTCACACAAATAACTTGAGATTATCAAGAAGCCATACAATTGTCCGTATAGAATCTATAGAGGTATTTCCCCCAAAAAATTACCTTTGACTTTTATTGAGAATGAAATCCAAACGGACTTGGCATGCCCGAGATATTTTGTCTGCTGTATGATAAGTATAACTACTATCAATAATGATCTCATTGCCTCCTTTTAAAAGGAGAAGCCACACCAGGAAAAAGGTTACGTTCTTTCAGTCAAAGGGTAGCTAATTCTTGGAATGGCCGTACTGTTGACATTAGGCAGTGGCGGATCCAGGGGGGCCGAAACGGCCGCGGCCCCCCCCCCCCTATTGGCGGCGCAAAAAAAAAAAGAGGAAGAAAAGAAGAGAAGAAAAAAAAAGGAGAAGAGAAAAGAAAAGAAAGAAGAGAAAAGAAATAGAGAGAGAGAGAGAGAGAGAGAAATAAAAAAGGAGAACCCCCCCCCTTCCAGTCCGGGGTCGGACGGACCGAATTTGTGTTCCCAAAATTTTCGATAAAGGGTTACTTTTCACCCAACAAAGTCCGGCCCGTAATAGACAAAAATCCGGCCCGTACTGACTTAACACACCGGAGATAGATGGGCGCTTTAAAAGAGAGGGAACATACATGCGCGTACCCTAGATAACACTGAGTTTGTGGGGGGGGGGGGGAGAAAAGTCGGGTGAGAAAGGGGGAATGACAAAAAAATGGTGCTAAGTGACAGTAAAGACGAATAAGGGAAAACTATTATCGGGAGATTTGGGGTCATTCCAGAAGACTTGGCAAACGTTATTGAACAGAGGGGGCCGGGCCGACCGCATAGAATCTCGAGCTGCGGATGCAAAGTTAAACGTTAAAAAAGGGCCCCTGCGCTACAAAGGTCATCACTCTTTAGTGAGAAATTTGAAAAGGGCACAATATTGTGTATGTCTTTTAAATAGAAGCTATATACTCAACAGTCAAATTTTAAATTAACGGTAGGGCCGCTTTACAACTCTTATGTTGCCCTTCATTTGGATTCAGCTCATACCTACTCGCTTGTGCATGTATTTGAACTCATGTTGGTAGTAATCATGGACAGGGGCGGCGATCCTGGGCCCGATAGGGGGACACATCCCCCAGGAAATTTAGAAATATAGCTAGAAAGAAATATAGCGGAAAGAACGTACATGTTGGGCCTAAGGATTTTCTAGAATGCATAATTTCAGCATTCAACATTGCAAAATCTCGCTTGGTCGCTACGCCCGGCCCTCGCCCGATAACACAAAACTATGATGACGCTCCCGGCCGTGATTTATCCATGGTTGGTGTAATTTAATTTCTACTAACCTAATTATGTGCTATCACTATCACGGTTGTTTCATTTTCCCTTTAAAGCAGGCGCGTTGCCAGGGGTGGTAGGGGCAGTAAGAGGACATAGGACGAAAAAGAAGCAGACAAAGAAACATTTTTGAAAATTCTGACAAGTCGAGAACGGTACAACGAATCGTCTTCTGTCTCTAATAATTTAATGAAATATCAAAGCTTCCGCGCTTCACTCGGGAGGGGGGGGGGGGCAACTGAATTCAGACAAGGATAAAGAAACGAGAAGTCTTCTTTCTCTAATAATTTAATGAAACGTCAAAGCTTCCGCGCTTCGTGCGGGAGGAGGGAAGCTGAATTCAAATAAGGATTAAGAGTCGAGAAAGGTACAACGAATCGTCTTCTTTCTTTCATAATTTAATGAAGCGTCAAAAGTTTACGCGCTATGCGCGGGAGGAGGGGGAAACTGAATTTATACAAGGATAAAGAGACGAATATGGAACAATAAATCGTCTTCTTTCTCTAATAATTAATGAAAGGTCAAAGCTTCCGCGCATCACGCGGGCGGGAGGAAACTGAATTCAGGCAAACATTAAGGCCCGAATTCACAAAGCAAGGTTTGAGCTCAGACCAAGGTTTGACCTCAAACCTCCTTTTGTTTCGCCAAACCTCCTTTTGTTATTTACAAACCTGGTTTGTAAATAACAAAGGGAGGTTTGGCGAAACAAAAGGAGGTTTGAGCTCAAACCTTGGTCTGAGCTCAAACCTTGCTTTGTGAATTCGGGCCTAAGTAGAGTCGAGAACGGTACAACAAATCGTCTTCTTTCTCGAATAATTGAATGAAACGTCAAAGCTTCCGCGCTTCGTGCGGGAGAGGAGGGGGGAACTGAATTCAGACAAAGAATACGAGTCGAGAATGGTACAACAAATCGCCTTCTTTCTCTAAAAATTAATGAAAGGTCAAAGCTTCCGCGCTTCGCGCGGGAGGGGGGCATATGGAAACGTTTGCTTGTATTTGTCTCATAAAGGAAGTTGAGCACAAACTGACTCCCACACGGTGTTGAGTGCTCAGGGGTCACAGGCCACTGGCTTCATCGGGCGGGTAGTTCCATTAAGTGAATGGGTAAATTAACTATTACAAAATGAGGGGACACATTGCATTGTACAATAGGGACACACATTGTTTTTATTGTGCAGAACTCTTTTATTGACTTACTTATTGCATGGAACTATAAAACCAAACTGCATTTTGTATTCTAACAATTGGAGTACAAAGAATAATAACAGGTGAATGAAATGCATAAACACCACAAACATCTGGGGAGGATCAGCATTCATAAATTTGAATACATAGTTGATAAACGACTCCGATGAATCTATGAAACCAAAATGAAATTTGCGTTCTGGCAATTGGAGTACAAAGAATGATAGTGAATGGAATGCTCCAACAGCAACACAAACACCTGGGAAGCGAGGAAGCATCCATAAATTTGAATAATTTAGTTGATAAACGACTCTGCATGTGGACGTTTGTTGGAGCAGAAAGCAGTGGATTCTTAACAACACGAACCCATTTAACAGAATGTCGGAACGTAAATTAAATTTGGCGCGGTTGGAAAATGCATCTTTCTACCCTGCGACTTGAATGGTACGATCCAGTAAATTAAAACAGTAAAATGGCTCTTATTTTAAAATTACTCATTAAATAAAACCCAAAACTTCAGTGATATCAGAAAAAATATGTTAAATTTTACTAGTAGTTAAAAAAAGATGTATAAACATTGTGAAAGTGTCGCATTTTACGATAAAAGACGCCGATTTAGCGAAGATGACGTCATTAGTGCGCTTGCATCAGGGAATTCAAGGTCAAAAGGTCAATTCAGACACTGATAAGTTATTGGTCGAGCCTTTTTGTTTCCTTTATTCCGACAAAATTATGCAATCAATCAAAACAAGTTTGATACCAGAAGAAAGCTAACAACTAGTATTTTCATTAACTGCTTGCCCCAAAGTCGCTTGACCACAGTGAAACGAGTGAGAGCTTGCGATAGCGGCCAAAGTTTGATTGAAACTCGCTATTTGCTCTTCTTCAACGCAAAAAGAGACGACATTGTACTGGATAAATGTATTTTTTCCGACAAAAGTACAGAAAATTTACATATGGTCTTTTTATATTATACTTTATGAAATGTTACCCGAGTGACTTCCGGGCGCCCCAATGCTGGAAAGAAACGCACATTTTAGAAAACTTCACTCTTTAGTTGAAAAATGCTTATTTGTTCTATGCACGCAAGTCAGATTGAGCGGATGATACAACGTTTCCATATGGGGAAACTGAATTCAGACAAGGATTAAGACAAGTATTAACGAGTCGAGAATGGTACAACAAATCGTCTTCTTTCTCTAATAATTTCATGAAACATCAAAGCTTCTGCGCTTCACGCGTAATAGGGGGGGGTGCAGCGAGCTGCCCGAATATGAATATTTCATATCTGTCCTCGTTTATTTTGGTGATAAATACCACTTTTACAAAATACATATTATGCTCAAATTTTTGCTCGCTCGCTTCGCTCGCTAGCCGAATTGTGAAACCAGAAAATTACTTTTTCGGGCAAGAGGTTATAGCCCCCCCCCCCGATGAAAATGTCAAAAATTGTACCGGTATGATGCTTCTAATATGACCTTGTCAGTATTGTTATGTTGAGTTGATAAAACGGTCTGCGCAACTTTCAAATTTCCGCCCCCCCCCCCTATTGGAAAATCCTGGATCCGCGCCTGCATTAGGGACTTTTAGATTCGCACGAAGACAATGGGGATCGCTACGATCGACGTCCTTTTAATGCACTGCCTTGACTGGACGTCACACGTATCAGTCCACACAAATCTAAAAGTCCCTATTGTTGAGGCTTCATCAGTCAATGTTTCAAAGTTCAAACTCAATGACGTGTATGACCACTGGAAACAGAAGTGTAATAAGTTTGGACCTTTATTGTTTGAACTAAATTTTACTAAAATTTGAACTGATGATGATTAGGAACAGACATGTTGAATTGCCCTCTAGTACAAGTCTTTAGACTTACTGGCTGTCATCATAGGTGATTCGGATACTGATCCCTAGTACGTATAAAATGGGAGGGGTATGAGAGAGTATCACTTTGTAAATTCACACTGACACTTTTTGATCTCATATTTCGCATTTTTCATGTGTTTCCTCTTCTTCCCTTTTCTTTTAAATATTCTACTATCTTTTCCTCTCTTTCTTTCTCTCTCTCTCTCTTATAATATGCTTTAAAGTACATTGCATTGTGTGTGTGTGTGTGTGTGTGTGGGTGTGCGTGTGTGTGTGTGTGTGTGAGTATGGTTGAGTGTGTTTGCAAGATATTTGTAATTTTTTTGTAATAAGTATGAATACACATGTATCTCTTTTTTGTTTTGCTTGTTATAGTATGTTTTTATTATATTTGTATTTAATTCTATGTTAATGGGCCCCATTTACAAGCCCTGCTTTTCAGGGGTCCACAGCCTGTCATCATGTTATAATTATTGTTCCAGTACCAGTGTCATTGTAAATTGTTTTTAATGATTGGCTGAATAAATTGAAATTGAATTGAATTAAAAGAATGATGTTAGTGTGATTCTGAGGATGCCAAACACATACCATTTCTGAACCTTTTCCATCGTCTCTGAGAATCCCACCATCGTCTTTCGATGATTGCCTCATAATTATGACAAGACATTAATCTACAATTGCCACTCCCAACCCAGGGGTAGCAAAATGAGTAACTGGTATAAATTAATTACTTGAATGTGGTCAACGTTTCAGAACACTTAGGCTGAATCTTAGTGCTACATTGTTAGTCTGTAAGTCCATTGAGGAACCCCTTAGATATATACATTTTGTGCAGTAGTTATCATCACCATCATCATCATCATCATCATCATCATCGTCATCCTCATCGTTATTATAAGAGTGGTCTATTCTCATCACGTACCTGTTCGGCGAGAAAGTTCTTCTTGAACTTCTCATGCAGGTAGAGAGATGTGTGTTTGTCAGGGATGCTTCCTAGGTCATGGGGTTCGATGCGTTTCTTGTATCCCACAGTGAACACCCAATTCATCCACCAGAAGGTGAGCGCAGACGGTAAGCTGCTGTAGTCATGGAGATAATTCATGTCCTCCTTCTTGGTGTCTCCATCGGAAAGACCGGGGGCTTCGGCTAAGCAACCGAATACCTGCGAAATTAAAGGCATCGTTTAACAATGTTAAATCTGAGATGCATGGCCTTACGTGTCATTAGTTTCTGTGATATGGTGTAATATTGAAGCCCTACAAAATTGCGCTTCAAAATGACCATGAAATGTCTCAAAAAGTAAACATCTTTGAGTGACCGGTTTTACCATAATCGTTTCCCCCAATAGACTGTAGTGTGATAAAAAGCGTTAGGAAAACGAAAAATGAAATTTCGATTTCCATTCATAAATATCTTGATAATCAGACAGGCGATCGGCTTGTAAAAGTCATGGGATTCCTGACTGACCTAAAGGTTTATAATTATGATTGCAGCATGAGTTAAATCCAGGATTTTTTTTCAGAATCTGAGGCAATGTAACCGAGCTACTTTAAGACAAAAGTCAGTTTTAGTCGTCCACTTTAATTGATATTCAGCTTCCCTCGATCATAACAAACATTAGGCCCTTTATATATTTTGTTTTTAAAGTTTCAACTCACAATCGTACAAGACGCAGTCTGGACCAGTTGCCTAATGTCCAGCCATTGAGGCGGCATTGGCATCATTGGGGCGGTATCGAAAAGTATTAGGTCGATGCAGGGCGGGGTAACATGGAAATGCTTTTCACGTCATTCCCCTCCTTTTCTTTCTTAACCCTCTCCCTTCCTCATTTTCGCCATTTTACTAAGGGGCAAATCTCCCGTCTTTTTATGTGAACGATTACTAACTCCGATTTTGTTTTTCTTCTCTCACTTTTCTTACAATATCATTGTTATTGATTTGCGAGAAGATTGGAACGTTGAGCATTTTCGATTTAAAGCATAACATCGGTGTATATCAATTTTGTGATATTCATAAACATGTATTTCTCTTTCTAAAAAACAAGACCTCCTCGTTTACCTTTTGAATGGACCTTCAAGTTACATAAATGATGTAAAATCTCAGATTTACCATTGAATTACAAGTTTAAGGGTGATGAGCGTAAAATTAAATGTTGCATTATTACAATTTTCTTTAATCGCCACAAGCGACACAAACTTCTTTTACCAGTGGCTTTCATTATTATTTAACTGCAATTAGTTGTATACAACGCACCGCCTTAATTGATGCATAAATGTCATCAAAGCACGCTTAGTACTGGAAAAATAATAACACAGGATCATCCTTATGTTGTATGGGTTCGTGATTAGTATAATCACTGACATTTGAATCTCTCTTTTAGCGTGCTCTTTTGTGTGTGAAATTGCGTCTTACGATGAAACCTTATTCATGCTGATATACTGTAAAGTAATCTGGCAAGTAAATTTTGAAGCACTATACATAGGTTGTTTTACGTTTTGGTTTGAGATAGCTGCTCACAATGAAATCCTACTGTTGATATGCTTCCAGAATAATGTTTAAAAGAACACAAAGATCGTTTCGTTTGTATGTAAAATTGAGTTGAAGGAAATTCGCCAAAGCTTTACAATACTACCAAATCTGCATAGGTACTCCAGGTTATTGCCCAAATCATAAATTGTTTGAGTTCAAACTCAATAAAGATGTTCGAGAGGTTGAAGTTTGAATGATATCAAATAACTAAATGATTGAGAGAGAAATATGCATTTACAACCTGTTTGCTCTTATTGGATAAGAATCAATAAATACACGTAAAACAGAGGGTAAACCCGGTGAGATAACACGTGTGTTGCGTCATCAACAGTAAACATGGCTGATCACGTTGCAGATTATGAGATGCAAGGTCTAGAAAATATAACTGAAGGAACTAGTATAAAAAAATTAAAAAAATCATCGTATATATAAGTTGCATTATATAGGGCTATAAATACATCGTTTTTAAAGACCTTATGTTATCCCCGCGAAAATACTTTGAACTTTTTCAATCAAAGCGGCAAAGGAATCAATAGATAAAAACAAATTACTTTCTACTCAGTACTAAAAAACACTGAAACCCCACATGTTTGATCGTTTGTGGCTCATCATTTTGAAACCCATACATTATTGAAATTTCCACATTGTCAATTTGAAAACGTTTACTTGGAGAAAGTTTCGTGTTTTTTTAAATACTCTTTTCAAAGTAATGCTGTGAATTCGTCATTAGATGTACAACTTTGTATCGCCTTTATAATTACGGACAACCTTTCTCTATCTACTTGATTTATCACTTATAGACTCGACGTTGATGTTTATATATTGTAACATTATTCAGTAAAAAGTATGAACAAAATTTTCCTTACCAAATGACAACAGAGGATTATTTCATTAACAAGAAACATCAACACTACGAAAAGCATCAGCAGAGTGATATCAAATTTGACGTTTTGAAAGTTGATATCTCCTCTTCTGTTAATGTGCACCATCTCCACCACCAACGAAAACATCGAAGCCACCCAGTATACGAGTAGGAGCCAAACCATGTGACGTTCACGCCATTTCTCCATCATGTGGAAGTAGAGAATGGAAAATACCGCCCCGGCAAGCATCACTACTCCTGCAACATAAAGGTGTGGTTGGTGTGGTAAGGAGTTGGCGAGGAAGGTGTCGTTGGTCAGAATACCTTCTGCTATGAAGGAGAGTGTGAGGACAAGAAGGACATAAGTCAGAAGCCATCTTGGAGTGTGACCCGGGAGACGCAGGAGATACTTGGAGCCGGTGAGACTCTGGCGGGAGGAGCAAGAGGCGAGGAGGATGAGGAAGAGAGATGAGAGAAGGACGAATCCCAACTGGGGTACAACGATGATACCGTTGATTAAACACGAGTTGTTCAAACCGGTGCCAGAGTCGAGTGTGTAGTTTACACCACAAAACCAGTCCCATTCACTCATCGTCGTGATAAGTTGGTTTCTGTGAAAAAGAGAGGAGAAATTGTTATAAGTCTTTTAAACCTATAAGGATTCCACACATTAATACATATCTAATGTGAACACAAGAATATAGAAATACCAGCACATTCAGGGATGCAACAAATGTACGAATAATATGAATTCTAATACATTTTAAACCTAATTATTATACCGCTTTTGATGTCCTCGGTTGTAAATCAAAAGTAACCAAATCTTTCAAAATGTAATTGAATTATAACTATTGATTGCGTATAAAATTTAATTAAATTGTATATATATTTCTTTATTTATTGGTATAGAAGCTCACCTTCACATTATCCGAAAATGAACACAGGCTGTTGTGTATTACCCTGTGCTTGGTGCAGGGCTCAGCCAATATGATCAACCTATACAAATACCAGCTGCCTCTCAACATGGACCATGCTCTCACGAACTAGAACAATACAATATATCTTGCAAAAGCTGCTCTAAGAAGCATACATCAGCGCTTTCGAAACAACGGTGATGAAATGAGCAGAAATCGAAGTTTTTTGTTATTTTATGAGCGGACTGTAAACATCTTTGAGGCAGCTAAACCCCTAATGCTAATGGTCAAAGTCTCATTCTTAATAGTTTTATAAGGGAAGCTATTTGCACGACCTAGGTGTTAAAGGTTCGGTGTAATAAGAAAATGCGAACTAATGTTGACCCTCGAGGTGAAAAGTTCCTTGAACACGATTTAAAAGTTAAAAATGAGTAGGGTGTTATCGGTATAAAATGCTGTTTGAATAAAAATTCGTACATAGATAACAATCTAAGTTGAGATAAAGAGCAAATAAAACAATATACTACTACTAGGGGGGGGGGGGGCGGGGAGGGGAGGCCCAAATTTGAAATCAATTTGAAATTTAGTGTGCTGAAATTTGAAAATCGTGCCTTCCGATATTTCGCTCAGTGGGGGGGGGGGGGAGGGGGGGGGGGGGGGGGGGTAGTCAGCACTTTTTTTGCTAAACACCTTCCCCTCCCCCCCCCCCCCTTGAGCAAAAAAAATTGTGGTCACAATTTTTTTTCCAGGGGGGCCCGTCTTTTTTTGCGCCGGGGGGGGGGGGCAAGTCCCGCTCGCCCCCCCCCCCTGAATCCACGCCTGCAAGAGAACGAGGAGAAAGAGAGAGAGAGAGAGAGAGAGATAGGATGCTGAAAATAACAACAGGAAATTTGTTTGCGTTAAAAATAAAAAAGATTCAACAGAGCAAAAAGCAACATCTCGGCAACATTGTGTATGAAGGTTGATAAAAAAAACTGCGTCATTTCGGTATGAAATGTTACCTATCATATTTCTTCTACTGTACTAACCCTCTAACATGCAAAAAATCCTGAACAAAGTCTCAAACCACCAAGATATTTATGTTTTTCTTTGAAGGCGTCACTGTGCATGCAACATCCTCTAACAGTAAATGCATGTTCCCAAGTACCTTGAAAGGTCGAGTGACATCATGATTATTGTTGTTTTAGCCTTATCATTATCGGTCAATGTGAAGAATCATCAAACGAGCAACTGACCTCATCCACCGGCTTGACCGGCGAGACCATGGACCTACTACGAATGTCAAGACTAGACAGAGGGGCTCCTTCGGTAACTATCAGGTCAAGCTCTATTCATTCGATGAAAAACTGTCATGGAAAACTCATATTGCCATAATTGCTCTACACAGATTACTAAGACTACAGGATAAAGTACTATTCAATAGGAAATGTATTGTTTATGATTTACTCATTTCACTCATCTTTGAATATATATATTTGTTTTAGTTCAAAACCTATTTTAAAATCAAATACATTTTGTAAACTACCAAAAGAGAGAAAAGGGGGAGGGGTACGTGCATGGTGGGGAGGGAGGGGTCAATGAATCCTTACGCAATAATTACAAAATATTGGATGGCTTTGAGTGTGATACAAGAATATTTTGCTCGAGCTATGGCAAGATATTCTTGTATCACACGAAAACAAAGCCGTACAATATTATTATTATTATCTATATTCGGCTGATTAGCGAAATAAAAAAAATTGACTTACCTCGGTAAATGTTTTTTTTCTCCATTTTTTCATAGGTTTTTATTTTTTTCTCTCATAAAAAAATCGTACATAACTTATAAAATCTTATACAAAATTACAAATAACCTTTACATAAATAAATTTGCAAATGAATTTCAACATTCCAATACAAGGTTACACATACATCTTGCTATAAAATATATTTGCAAATCAAGTTACACATTTAGGCCTACAGAAGAAAAATATTCACATAATCAAAATTATACTTTCACAATTAAACAAATCGCAAATAAAGTTTTTACAATTTCCTCGACCAGCTTGCATATTACATTTCCAATTTTTTCCTTCTTTTCCACAATAATTTTTCAAAATTTCTTTCAGAGAGAGAAAAAAAAGATTTATAATAAAAGGAAAGAATAAGATAGATGATAAAAGAAGAAAAAGAATTTGTTTTCGTGTGATATCGATATCGATAGTTGAAGTTACCGGATGACTGAGCAATACGAAAACAATATTGGTCAGTCATCCGGGTACTGCGCTAAAGATATTGAATACACTGAATTTGTTATACAACTTGGAAGCCTTATTTATGTAGATAATAATCATTATTATTTTATTATATCTGTGTAATAATTATTTTGTTCATTTGGACACCTGCATCAACAAGCTAAAACAAGCTGTCTACAGGTGCTCCCTTTTCCTGTTACCATTTTCATAGTTTGTTTTAATGAACTTAACATAATGTTCATGATTGATATATTTTAAACTGATTACAGAGGAAATTGACCGAATGGGGTTTTACAAGTTAAGCACATTTAAAATGGGTACGCACTACTTCTATGAAAGAGAATGACATGGATCACTTAACAGAACTGCAAAGACTTTCAAGAGCCCGAAAGGTCACTAACCTATTTTAATGTCTACAGAATCATTCCATTGTCATGTTTGCACATTACATTGTTTTAAGGTTGATTTATGAGAGGCCGTGTCGCCAGATATATATTTAAAAAAAAGGCTAATCAAATACAATAATAAAATTAAACAATATATCCATTGTTCTCGCAATAGCTTTCAGGGGCGACATCGGTTTAATAAACGAGTTATTAAGATTATTCCATGAGGGAACCAGGATTCTGTAAAAGAAGGGACACGAAATTCCGAAAAATTATAGGTCAAAGGCTTATTAAAGGGGGCCCGGGGGCACAATCTTGGGTTGTATATTTTAGTTATGACACGAGAGTGTCAAGGGGGCGGACTGATGTGCCCCTTTCCTTAATCTGCAAGTGTATCATGAAGTCACATGTACAAAGCATCAGGGACCTTGATAATACAACTTTGTGATTAGATGCTGCTTGTAAGTATCGGCGTACATGGTGATGTAGATATATAAATAAGGTAAGAAAGATAACCACCAGTCTTTTTCAAGACTACACCAACAGTCCTTTTCAGGACTACTTACCGTTCAAGAAAGATTACCGAGAGTCCTTTTCAGGACTCCTCAATCCTCCCTCTCTCTCTCTCACATGGTGCACCCGCAACCCTACTGTATAAGTTTGTAATTGAAAGCGAAATGAAAGGACAAAATGCAATCGATCAGAAGCGGACAAAAAATATAAATAAATTGTCAACGGCCCCGGTGAATAATAAGCAAATTTGATAGTTTGAAGAGTTCCGCTCAGGAAATATCCTGACCCCATAAAAAATAGCAAAGGAAATTATCAAGATTTGCCAAAAATTGGGACGGGTTGAACACTTTGGTTTGTTGCCATGTTAGCACAATCGTGCCTAACATAATTTTTGAAAGTTTGGCATATTTCTGGCACTGAAAAAGGCCGGGTCACGGGGGTCCGAAATACGTGTTCGTGTAGTCCCATATACATCTTTCTGTGCAAGTGTTTGTAACTTTACCAAGACTTGGCCAAATTTCTTATAATTTTGATGATTCCAGAACCTTGCAATACACACAAATTCTTACATGCTAGATGATCAACCTTTTCTGGTCGGTTCCACACCGTTTCTTTCACAATGCAATCGCATGACCAGAACTCAACTTCATCTTGTTGCTATTTCTTGATATCAAGAATTACCATCGCTTTACAACAGAAAATCATTTCTTGGTGGATGAGTTTCTGGATGAGTTCGTGCAATACTTTTGCGTGAGATATCAGAATGAATTTCTGCACTACTCGATATCCAAACGAATTCTTGCAATATTTTTGAGCTCGATATCCAAATGAATTATTGCAATACTTTTGCGCTCGAAATCAATCACTATAACAATTATTGATATCAAGAAATAGGAATGAATGTTAAAACGGCTTGCCATACGGTCGACACCTAAATTATTGCCCACACCATCGATAGAACGGTCACAGTTCACCAACAAAAGGAAGCTGTGAAAGTCAGTGGCGACCATGCGAGGAGCAATATTGAAGAAAATGAAACACTGAAACGACTGAATCAATATTTGAGCCAGAGAAAAAGAAACAGCGCCATCTAATCATCATTGAAGAAGAACAGTATAGCCAAGCTGAAACAATCTTTTCAGATTGGACAGCCTTAAAACCCAACATCAACAACAGCAGCAACAACAACAACAACAAAATCGTGGAGCAACATTTTGACTGTAACAAACCAGACAAGATACAATTAGATAGGAAATGACACGGACGACATATTTTCGCAAAGCAGATTAAAATTCATGGTTCTTCAAATTATTGCACAAATGTATTTTAATTCAATTTTCTACTAGGAGGTCAAACAAGGCCGAGTTATTTTACATGTCACAGCGCTAGTATAATTATATTACTATCAATGATCAGAGATGCACTTACAAAAGGAAAGTAGAAGTTACAGACGAGGCGCAGATGATTTAGTGTAACTAGTCTATGTATGGGTCTATGTTTTCGTGGTGACACCAGGGGCATCTCCAAAGGGGGGGGGGGGGGGGGGTGTATGTGTGTATGTGTGGGGGGTGCTACACCCTCCCACCTGTCAGGATATTGTCGGTAAAATTGCACTGCCGTCGGTAAAAAGAGAAAGGGGGAGGGAAAAAAGAGAGGGAAAGGGAAAGAAAAGAAAAAAAGAAAAGAAAAAGAAAAGAAAGAAAGGAAAAGAAAGGAAAGAAAGGAAAAGAAAGGAAAGAAAAGAGAAGAAACAAAGAGAAAAAAGAAAAAGAGGGAGGAGAGGAAAGAAAGGAAAAGAAAGAAAAAGAAAAAAAAAGGAGAAAAGGGAAACAAAAGAAACGGGAATGAAAGAGAGGAGAGAGAGGGGAGGTAAAAGCCTGAGAGATGAGGAGTGGGAGTAAAAGAGAGAGGGGGGTTGTTGGGTGGAGTCGTCTCGTCGAGGGAGCAAGAAAGTCACGGGTAAATATGTTGCTGTGTCAGGTCAGCTGTGTCGGTATTCTTGCTCAACCCCCTTTAAATGCATAAGTTTGAAGTCGGTGGGATGTATATTGTCGGTCGGCCGACAAGTTTTTTTCCCTACAAACTGTGACTTTGTATCCGCTGTGACGACTTCGAGAATGACTACAACTACAATACTTGTATTTTCTCGAAGTTTCACTTTCCTATAATATCAGCTAATAAAGAAATCAGAGGTTTTACAACGGCACGACGAATCGTCTTCCTTTCACTATATTTTGATGAAATGCCAAAAATTCCGCGCTTCGCACGGGGGAGGAAAACTTTATTTAGACGAGTCGAGAGCGATACAACGAA